AAATAGACAAAAAGCTTTCAAAACAAAAAAGATACAAGCACGCAAAAAAGTCCGGATAATTATGCATCAATCTAGTAAATAATAATTATTCTTCTCAGGTCTCAATAACCATTTTTTCGGTTAACGGGTTATCGATAACATATTTTCAATAGCAGATTAACTATGTAAACAGCTAGCGGCAACCATCTCTTCTACAGACACCACTTTCAGCTCAAAATTTAGTCCCAAAACAGGAGATCATACGCTGCAATCATGCTACGTAGCACTGTATCCGATGGAGAGGATGTCGTTGACTCAGCGAACTTTTTTTCTGTCAAGATTATATTTGCAGCGCTCATGACAGATCATTCAAAATTTCTCATATTCCAGCTGTGAAGTTGACGTAACTTCATGCATCAATGCTTACAGTTCGATTTCACTTTACAAAAATAACGGGAGTCTCAACAGAAAAGAGCTGCTTGATTTGTGCGGATGTGGCTACTCACATAATTTCTTTCGCTATTTTTGGTAATTTATGTATTAGTTTGTTCTTCTGCCCAATACTTTCACGCAGCAGTATATCTGTATCTGATATCGAAAGTGCTTGGATGTAACTTATGAGGTGGGCAAAGAATTATTTCGGTCAGAGGAGGTCCAAGCAGAGTCTACTCAAACTCAAGACTTGTCCCCTATTGTAGTAATAGACCCTCTAACTAATCTAATCTTCAACTTTGATTGATCAAAGCTCAGTGTTGAGCAAAAAAAATTTATCAAGGCTTAGGCTGCAGCGCAATTAGCGAATCCTCCCTTAATAGTGGATGTGTTCGCTCCTCTCGAGCAGCGCTCTCTAGCAAGAAAAGCATGCAATCCATATAGACTCTTAAAATCGCGCCATTTTAACGTCCCCGTCAGTCCAAGAAGAGTCCGAAATCCCTATTGCTTGAAGATTGCGCGCAAATTGAAATTGATAATCGTCCTAGCCCAGTGAAATGGCCCACAAAAGGCAAAAATCTCGGAAAATTAATGCTTAGGCACTGCCTTTAAATGGAGCCTGATCGACTGATTGAATTGATTACAATAGCTAAATGGCCCTCGACTTCGTCCTAGTCACCTAAGAATCCTCCCGCGTGATCTGATGAGAAATGATAACAAGCAAAACTGAGCCTATTTACGATAGCCAATGGCCACTGTAAGGTTCCGTAGCGAAATTACAGTGAGCGCTTAGCGGCAGAGCTAAAGCAACCTAGGTTCTTACATCATATTCCTACCGTAGTCGCTAAAGGTACAGATATGTTTTTAAGTGAGACCTTTATTTAAAATAGCTCTTCAAAATCTTTCTTCAAGACCTCGAAAAGATTTAGAAACAAGAGAATTTACGAACAAACGAGGCACAATTTTTTTAGGGGACTCTCTGTATACTAATATCAGTTAGCTGGCAAAAACTCATAACTGAAATAGATGCCATAAAATAGGGAACACGTATCCCTAGCTTTTTTCATTTATAAAAAGTCGTGAGTATGGACCACTATATATATCTAAACTCCGGTTTTTGCTTACCTTCCAGATAAGCTTGTACAACTTTCTATCACTTCCTCTGACTCTAGTTATTTTTGGTGCCGATAGGCCATCCGCTTGCATGCATTCTCGTTCGATCACCTCCCATTTCACCAGCTCATCACCAGAATAATCGCGAGGAAATCCAAGCTAAAAAACCAACCTGTGCTAGCGCAGAGTTATTTTCTCTGACACAAATATCTTTTTGACAAACTCCTACCTTTTGCTCAACAACCGGCAATGGAACTCGCTTTAGAATCTCGATCCTGCTCATAATGGATACATTGCCTAACATATAGTATAAAGCTGGAAAGGGTTTTAGGTTTCGATTAAAGTTCCCTTCTTCAATCTTAACCACACCTGAATTCCCTCGTTTTTCGAAAAATCGCGTGTCGTTCATCTTTAGAGCAACGAACTGCAGATAAGCCACGTGTGCTGCAGTCATATCTTCAATAATCTCATGAAGGCGTGCGCGATCTTTTTCATTGGCAATCCGACGTTCCGCTTCTTCCAGCATACTTTGCACAACTGGGGCACGATTCTGAACAAAGATTTCGAGGATGATTATAAACTGCATTAAATTACCTCGTCAAATTTGTAGAGGAGAACACTATGGAGGACGTGATAAGGGTATGCCATGATAAGCTTCGTAATTATCTAAATGCGCAGATTCTTCCGGAAAAAAAATCTCGCAAATATCAAATATGAAAAAGTTGACAATCTACGAACAACTTTGAAACTAGGGAAACTTGCCGTTCTTATAACAGGTGCAAGAGTACTATTAGCAAAGCAATGACTCATGAGATGGCTTACAACCTGAACCCATACAGCTGGTACCATACCGCTTCCAACATACATCTTAAACGAAACCATAATAATGACGGATAATATAGTTGTGATGGACACAAACTTTAAGTTCTCTCACGACGTCCACGTTATCATCAAAACGGAATATAACGTCGATAAGTGGGAAGATGTGTCTAAGAACTGCATCATTTATATGTTTTGGTTGGAGTGGTTGTTTCTTGTAAGGTTCTGACAGAAGCTCTGCAAACTTAAATATTATCTGATTAGTTGCTCTACGCAAAACCTAGGAAAATTCAATGCGGACAATCGGATTGTAGCCGCAGGGAAATGTACATAACACGAAAACGAAAAACCAACTCAGAGCTTCTAATCCAGCAGAAACTGTAGCCACAGCTGTAGAGAGCAATTTTTTCTTAACTGTCTCTACTGCTTCTTTTTCGCACCTGAGTTCACACTCGATACGTCGAGCAGCCATGGATGGTGGCCTGGAATTGGACGGGGTTCGGTGAAAAAACGCTGCGGTTCAAAACTACCTTTGTGAAGCTTGTTCTTGCTGCTTGCTCCATTCGCGGATAGCGTCCTCTCTCATACGGAATGCTCTTGACTCCAAGTGCTCCTCAATATTGTATAGCTGGCGAGCTGTCAGTCGATGAATTAGAGAAAAATACCGCAAACGCGACTCAGACTTGATGATAGACTTATCAAACCTATCGAGAGCCTTAAAAAAACATATATCGCTGCGTCACCCGGTAATTTCAACAGTACCTCCTGCAGAAAGGCGACGGCTTGATCCAGTAAATTTCTGGGACCCGCAAATAGCTCCGCTAACAAACAACGTGCTTCTATTTCAATCTCAGGCTCAACGGTTACCCTGGAATAAATTCGAAATACTAAAAAGCGGAGAAGGATAGGCGGGTCAAAGAAGAATGGTTTCAATTTATCTCCTAGCTTTGACTAACGTGGTCTGAAGAAGAGAACGCAGTAAATGTTCAGCTGTGCTTTCGTCTCCCTTTGCAATTAGAACCTTGCATTTTTCGATTATAACCTCGCTTCCGAAAGACTTCTCCAAAAGCGACAAGCATGGCTGAATCACGTACATCATGAAGGCGCAATGATCCATATTATGAACTGAGACACGGCACCCACAGCAAATGCTTTGAGCTGAATAAATCTCCTAGACAGTTCGAAAATGGCCGCTTGGAGAAGACCTTGATATGCGTCATCACAGTTATGCAATTGTAGGAGATATTGTGTATGTAGGATAAGGCGATTAATCGGCAGGGCCTGTAAATAAAAGTTGAGCAGGCAGCAACCTACTTCTGAAACTATAGGAAAAATGCGTAGTTTTACCTCCAACTCTGCAGGTGTTGCGAAACCTTTGTGATCCAACACTGAAAAATCACGAAGGTGGCTAAGAGTTGTAGGATTTGGTATCTCGTCACTCACTGCTTTTTTACATTCTTCACTTCTGCATTTGAAGTTTTAATTAAAGGCTTCCTGTTTAATATATTTAAAAAACTTACTCTAAAAAAACTCTTATCTCTTTAGCAGAGGATGAATCTTGACGAATATAATACAAATAAGCAAACATCCGTTCTTCATGAGAAACTAGCCTAAGAATGAGATATAACAATTTCGATTAACACACAGAAATTTCCTTTGTGTATTATACTTCTTGGTAAATGTTGGTTATTCTGAATACGTAAGAATGCACAAGTCATAGAATTTGATATCTCACAAACCACACTGTAAAGTGACAAATAACAATATCTTCTCTTTTTTCCAAAATATTACCTTACATTATGTAATATAAAATGCCAAAATTTTGAGTTTTTTCCAAAAAAAAAAA